GCAGCGAGCAGCCAGCCGGCATGTGCGCCTGCTGGAGGAGAGCACCAAAGCCCCTGATGGGGACAGCTCACAGGGACTCTGTGTCTCACCCCCTCCACATGCTGCTGCTGTGGAGGACAAGGTTCGATCAGCAGCGAACCAAGAGAGACGGTGCTGACTCTGACAGCTGAAGACTTGAATTGGTAGCACAAGAAGCAGCAGGCAAGAGGGGCTTTCACTTCTGTGAGAAGAGCCTCCTGAACTGCGTGAGTTAGGCGCAGACACAAGAGGCGGCCCCTAATGAGCAACTTTGGATTATAAGGGCCTGCTGAAAGGTGTCCCCAGGAACTCCACCGCGTGCAGCTCTGCTCCATCGCTACTCGTAGGGCATTTCTTTTCTATCGAGCTAATATCCCTGGCAACCCACAAGGGTACCCGCAAGTCGGTACCTCAGGGCGGCAGGGCAAATGCATCGCCTCCTTGCCTTGAAGGCAGCCCCGAACCGGCATCACCAGGAATTTTTCCTGGCCGCTCTGCCAGGGCAACACAGCCCTCACCAAGTCGAGGGGCACTGTGGGAGGGAGCGGTGCAGCGGAAGGGCAGATATTTCCCTTTTCCTTTCTTTTTCTCAACAGGGGCTTGATTTCATCCTTTTTCTAAATCAGGCACCGCAGTTGGGCAGTTCTGACTTGTGTGCTAGCTCGGTATGTATTATTTAGCAAATACGCGCATTTACCACGGTAAGCTTTGTGTCTAGCCCCATGACAGAAACTACATACTACATACTACAACTACTTCCAGCTATGGTACTGAATGTTAACTAACTTGGTTTTATTTTTTTTTTCCTTTGTTCACAATTGAATATAACAAGTACCTTTACAAATCGCAACATTTCTCCACTTTCTTTCCATTCCTTCCATCTCTCACGTATTAAGAAAAAAAAAAAAACATATGCCTAAATGTCAAGCAGACACGGCCCAGGAGCGGGAGGGTGATGATAGGACACAGCTGCTCTTGTCCCCTCATGGGGGTTGCGGTGGCTGCAGCCCCATGCAAGCAAAGCCATAGGAGCCCGTGAAGATCCTGCCGTGGCCTCTGGCCCAGGCTGCAGCGCAGCAGCTGTGTCCTGCCTTGGGGAATGAGCTTCGCTTTCACTCTTACTTAGGAAAGGATTATCCTGTGATCTACAGAGGAAGGTGGCTCTGCTGGCTGTGCCGCCCTCTTCTCGTACCAACAAGTTAATGTCAATGTAAAGGGAAGGCGAGTCCTGTGGGGGCATGGGTGCTTGTTGCCCTGCTGAGCTAATCCCCATGTGTCCCCTTGTGGTGGCTGCGCCTGGGCTCCTTCAGCCTCCTGGCAGATCAGTACCAGGGCTGCGCTGCTCTGACTCATGACAGATTTTAACTTTGTAGGCTTTTTTCTCTAAAATCAAAGCGGGAGATCCCAGAGGCAGGAGTTCCCTGCTCTAAGGCCTGGCGTCAAGGTGAGGCGCTGCGGCCCGCTGCGCGCAGCCAGCACAGGGAGCGCATGGAGCACAGCCTGCCCAGCGGCCAGCAGAGCTGTGAATCCCCAAGTGGAATTACTGGTTCACAGTGTGGAGCCCAAAGCGAAGGCTTTCCCTAGCAGTACGAACGTACTCCCTGAAGAGCCGTGTCGCAGTAGCCTTCCTTGCAGAAAGGGCAGTTTAATGCTCACCGTGGCCGCACACAGCATTAGGGAGCCCCTCTTCTGGGCCCACAGCATGGAGAAACTGCGGGCAGAGGGTTGGCGTCAGCTCAGCAGCTGTGCAGAAAAACAAAATGATGGCCCTGCACTGCTGCCCGGCTCCATCAAGTTGCTATTATGCCGCAGTAGAGTCCTTCGTATTTTCAAAAGGGATATAATTAATTCCAGCATGCCCAGAATTTTAATAAAGTGACAAAACCCACTCGTTATACTGTTAGTCAAGGTCGGCTTTTAATAAAGTTTCGCTTTATCTATTGACATGACAGATGAGGAAACAAATATAAACCAGGAACCTTTTAAACAAATTATTTTTGGAAGCGGTATAAAATTCTGGTGCTCAAATTGCCAGACATAAAAGACACCCAGAGGAGAATGAGCTTCACCCAGCAAGGCTCTTCCTATGAGTGATGGTGATTACCTTTGATCAGGAGCTGAAGAAATGTTTTGTTATGTGTGTTTGAGGGGTTTGGGGTTTTTTTCTTTTTTTTTTGGCACTGTAAACAAATGATTTAAGGGCATTTTTATAACTACAATAAACGCTGTACTGCTTCTGCTTAAATGCCAACATCGGTAAGTTTTACACTATGAGGGCCAGCAGCCTGGTCCGGGGCAGCCTCACAGCAGATGTTTCACAGGTATCCTCAGCTCAGCAGGCCTCGCCTCTTGCTGGATAGGGCCTTAAAAAAAAACATGAGGAGTAGGAGCAGGAGAGAAACAGTCAGATGAAGGGAAGGATGGGTAGAGAAATCCCGAGGGTGCTGCTGGCCCACGTGAGGCCGCACAAAGTCCTTCTCTCTCCCAGCAGAGGCAGGCCAGGACGCACGCAAAGCAAATGCCACAAGACCGGGCCAAAATTTGCTCTACGACCCCTTGCAAACTAAGAGCGGAACTTGAGCTTTGCCCTTTGCCTTAAAATCTACTGTAGTTGCTTCTGCTTGTGCCAATTGCCCCACCAAATGCCCAGGGGTGATGATTCTGCCTGGGCTCCGCCTTGCAGAGCTGCAGCTCCGACAGCTGGAGCCGGCGCCTTGGTCCTCCAGCCTCTGCTCCAGGAGCATCTCCCATCCCAGCCCCTTCTGTGTGCGAGGTCGGTTCTCCCACCGATCTCCCCGCCACCTCGCAGCGCCCCTCACCACCCCCTGCCCTTCTCCAGCTCTGCAGGCGCCGAGCACAGCGCGGCCCCTGGAGTGTCGAGAAGAAGCGCAGCCGCCGCGGCCTGCCCCGCGCGCCGAACAGAACAGAGCAGCACCGAGATGTGTATATAACAGATTGGTTTTATTTTTTAAAAAATCACTGCAACTGACCGAAAATAAACTCCGTGAAATGTGCCATACATTCAAAGAGATGTATTTGAAGTAACTGATTTCTTATTTCTCTGAGGTGATGGATACAGATATTTTCTGACAACAACAAAAAGTTCTGTAATGTTTTGTCTCTAAAGCATCAGCTGAAGTTCTAGAGTTTCTGGCCAAGTGTCCAACCTTGCTGAATGCCATATATAGAAAATGATTGTAGACATTAGTTCACTGGCCTCCCTTCCAGCATTTGCAGTTCCAGATGTGATCAAGGCTCCGCAGAGCCCTCTGGTTTTGGTACTGGTAGCAGACTTAGGAATCTGCACAGGGAAGAGTCCCAAGTGGAAAAACGAGGGTTGCTTCCAGCCCAGTAATACCTGCAGCTCAAAGTGGTGACCAAGTGCGTGCACTGCCAGGGATAGCTATAACATACAGAAGCATATTTCTTAACAGCCATTTATTTCTTATATCCCCGTAATATTAGAAAAAGACCACCATATACAAAAATCTTGTCATTACAAGTTATTAAAAAAAGAAGAAACTTCAGACCATTAAAACGCACAGGAAAGTGTTCGTTTGCATACAGTAGAAATACAATCCTCATTAAAGCAGCATACCAGCGAGGCCAGCTGTTAAGTACATTTTCAATTAAAAAAAGACAAAAGCCCAGATGTTCCTATAACACAACCAGAACATAGAAGAAGAGAGAGGAATAAAACATTCATAGCCTGCCATGCCGGGTGCATCATCCGTGTAAGGTCACTTCAGGCCGGGAAGAGCGCGGTGCCAAGCAAAGAGCCCGAGCCCTCACACGGGGGGGACGCCCCTTCCTTCCCATCTTCTCAGACCACAAGATTCCCAAAGAAAAGGGCACGGAAAGTACCTGATTTGCACCCTGAAATGTTAGACTTGCTGCCACACGCAAGAAAACACGAGCTCTCGTGCTCGTCTTGGAGGGAAACAAATCCATTCCCCGAACTCTCCCCCAGCTCTAACACATCAGCTGCGGCCGCGTGGGATTCACTGGGCAGCAGGGAGCCGTCTCCCGCGGACCAGGGCTCTCTGCCTGCTGCTCCGTCACGGTGCGCGGGCCGCGACCACCTGCGGCTCCCGACACATGCGCTTCCCAGAAAGGGCGCCGTGACCCACGCTGGCGCCTACCCACCGCATCTGCATTTATTTGGAAGTTCTCTGCTCTCGGAGCCTTTTTGCTCCTGCTTCAGCTACAGGCTGTTCATCTACGAGCCTGGGAGATCCCAGGCAGCAGCAGAAACTCCCCAAGGCAAGAAATACCCCAAAACATAAACCAGGCTTATTTGGCATGAACCAGCACGAGTGTGAACTCCAACAACCCGGGCTGTGAGCTGCAGGTCCTGCTCTCTCAGCTGAGATCCTCTCTCCATCCCAACCTTTCTCTTCTCTCCCTGCAAGGCCACCCAAGCAGGGTCGCTTCGACCTTTACGGCTCTACACTGCATGGGACAGACTCATATCCACTGTCCCCCTTGTTGCAGGGCCTCCCTCCCTCACCTTCTCTGCTCTCCAGACATCCTTCTGAAAGAAAAAGACAACTCCTGCATCTTCCTACATTGCGGTGATACTGAGCGCTAACAGATGCCACAAACTTCCTGCCAATGTACAGGCTTAATATTATATAAATAGGTAAAAGTTTCAGATAAAATATCCTATAATTTCTGTGGTGTAACGTTTTTAAATAGCATTAAAAACACAAAACATCCAGCCCTTGTGATTAAATATACAAACGTATGTGAATTGATAAGGCTCGTAGGTACATATGCAAAAATAAAGTGTCCCTCCCACCACCAGGACCCCGGTGTGTACAGCAGAGTCAGGAAAGGGAGCGCGCAAGTCGTCGGCCCCAAACCCTGCAGGGCCCCATCCGAAACCTTGCCCTCCTTCCTGCTTCCATCTCTGCAGTGGGCAGTATTTACACGGGTAGAGGAGCTGCCCGGGTGACTCCGCACGCAGTCCCCGTAGGGCCTCAGAGGGCCTTGGCGCTGGCTGGGTGCGCAGGGTGGGACGCCGGCTTCTGCGGGTAGGAACTGTACAGGTAGACCTGCAGCAGGATGGCAATGTCCACAAAAACCTGCAGGAGGCCGCAGATGGAGAACTGGAAAGGGGCCTGGTTCAGGATGAAGTAAACAGTCTTGAAGGTGTCCCCACTGGTCCACATCAGCACCATCTTGACGCTACAAGACAGAAAAGGAGGGAAAGCGTAACCCTAGGGAAGGGTGTCGAGCGCGGGGAGCTGCCATCGCTGCTCCTCGCGCCCTTCCGACACACCCGGCTCGGGCTGCCCCAGCAGTGCCCCCGGAGGATGGCAGCACACGGGCAGCGCTGAGGGGGGTGGCGGCGCACGCAGCGCCTCAGCTCGCTGCCACAGCCCCCGAGCGCGGCTCTGCGCCCACGTGAGGCAGCGCACGCTGAGCTGAAACAAGCATCAACCCCTCCGAGCGACACAAGAAACCCTTTCCTATCGCAGAGGGAACAAACCCAAAATGCTCACAAGACTCAAGTCGTCCAGTAACTCAGAAGGACGGGGACAGGACACAACTGCTGCTATTTATCAGGAGATTGGACATCGCTAAGGATTCCTATCAAGAGCACGGATCAAGAGCAATGCCCAGGCCTGCTTTTAATAACCATCTTTGCTTTCATCTCGCTGTCCCTCTGAGCCATCCCTTGCCCTGTTATCCAGCTCCCTCCCTCCCACATCGGGGGAAACTGGGGAATAGATGAAAGTTCTTCGCACTTGGCACAAATCCATTTTCCTGAGTGCCTTCGGTAAGATGTGAACACCGAGTTCCTGAAGGCCGTTTCTGAGCTTCGCATACTTCAGCCGGAGAGCATTTTTTAAGGGGGCAGGGTAAGTGGCAGTGGGCAAAAAGGCGTTGTAGTTCACGGTGCAAGCGCAGCACACGACTTGTCGTAATTCTGAACTCTCGCGTCTCGCCAGCTCTGAGCCCAGTTCACTGAATGCCGCCGTGCGCGTGCAGTAGGGCAGGGCTCGGTGTTCGCTTCCCACAGGTGTCCACAGCGAGGACAAGTCGTGTTGTGAATGCAAGGACATGACGCTAATGCGAGCCAAGACCTGAGGCCCACACTCTCCTGTTTAGAGGGGGGCAGCCAAGAGCAGCAGTCTGTACTGACCCACCATGTCACAGAAACAAAAGCCTTGGGCTGTTGTGGCCCAAAGTCATTCTAAAAACGCAAATAAGTAATCCTGACAGGTCAAACTGAACTTCTTCTGTCAACAGAAATGCAGCCCAGGGATGCCACATAAGGTTGCAAGGGGAGCCTCAGTGTGCAGTGGCTATTTGCCACATACTCCACAGCAGGGCAAAAGCCAGCTGTGTTTTTAAGATGACCCGAGCACATGGTAGGGATATGGAGGAAGAAGCACATCCTGTCAGAAGGTTTGTAGTCCACAAGAGGGTTTAATCTCCAGCGGGGGGAAGCCCCATGGTGCGTGCGATCCCGCAGTGCCTCGCGAGGCAGGCACACGGCAGGCAGTCTCACATGCCACCACGAGCCTGCCAAAGCAAACCTCGGATTTTTGCCAGGAAGCTACCTATGGACCTGATCGCTGTGATGCTGATCTAGTGACCTGGTGCCTGCTGCTGTATCCGCTGCATGTTCCAGAGCCCCTCTCTTCAGCACTGTCGTCCCTGGCGTGTTTGCTAGGACACGGCACAACGCTCTGTACAGAGGGACATCCCAACCTCTCCGGCACCAGACGGTTTAAGAAGTTACCACCAGGCTGTCCCTGCGGGCAGCAGGGAACCAGGGGCAGCAGCTGGTGCTGCGACCAGCGAGGTGCCAACGCGAGGGACGGGAGGCCGGGGCAGCTCTGGACGGCAGGAGGCTGAGGCAGGTGTGCGATAGCAGCAGCGCCTCCCGGCAGTGCGAGGCCACAAGTGCTCCAGCACCCAGTGACAAGAAGCCTCCCGAGAACCAGCACCTTCCTTGCACCGGTCTTGTCACAAGGCGCTGGGGGCGCCCTGGGAGGCAGCGGCCACCCTGGGCACACCGGCGCTGAGGAGAGCAGCGGGTGCTTTTCGGCTGCTCTGAAAGTCCAAAAACGCACTTCTTTATTGTGCTGTTGGAATTAATCCTCCGAAGGGCACCATGATTTCCACCAAATGCAGTTTTTTGGTATGCGAACAAAAAACAAACTCTCAACAGCGCTGCCATTTTGTGCCACTGATAGTAGCTGCAATAGAGGCTCTGTACCAATCTTCATCTGCTAAGTAAACACACAGCACACTGGAAAACAGCTTTCATTTTTCTCAAGAAACACGTTGCTTCAGTTTGCTTGTATCTTGTGCATTAATCCTGACAGCACCCGGAGGTCACAACGCCCCTTAGCGCCCCTTATCTAGGGCCAGCTAACGAGGGATAATTTTAAAAAGTGCTCCTGAAACTACTCGGGTGCAGAAGGAGCCTGCAAAGTGTCTTCAGAAAGAAACTTCCCCTGCTTCACTTGAGTAATTGCTTGGATAATTTACAGACAATGACATTAGCCACACACTTAGGCTCAAACCCCCTTAATCCACAACAAATTCTACTCAAATAAAAGCTTTTAAAGCTTCTTCATTCCTTCTGCTCCAAGCCTGGCTGTGACACCCTCTAGTGCTTGGTTTTCCATTAAAGCCTTTGCCCATCCTGCTGTGCATTAGCCAGTTCTTGTTCATTATACCTTTACATTACATCGCGCTCTTCCTTCACCTGAAGGAGTCAGGACTACAAAATTAACCTTCGCTGTGAAACGGGGAACATGAGGCCTTCTCTCCTCCCCGTGGCATCGCCCTGCCTTAAAACTAGCTGCCACCACCCGTGGAAACCGCGTGCCAAGAGCCGCGCGCCAGCAGAGCCGGGGCCGCTCCTCAGCACCAGCCCACGCAGAGGGACGCGCGGCAGGACTCGCTTCCCGTTCGCTCGGCAGCTTTTCTCACATCCATGTTGTGACTCTGCATGTTTGTAACTTAACACACCAAGCCAAAAATACCCCGCGAGCTGGAAGACACAGAGAGGATGAGACACTAGACAGGGGCTTCCGCTGAGAAACCCCGCAGCGGCCTGACCAGGCGCGCGGGCGCAGGCAGCGCCCGGGGCTACGTGCTGCCCTCCTGTAATTACATCCTGCTGCTGGGCTGCAGAACCAGCGCCGACTGTGCCAGGCAGCCAGCAAACTCCAAAACCCCACCAGCCATTTCCAGTGACAGAAAAAGGAGTGCACTGTTATTGGCCTTTATCTCCTTTAAAAAGCTGCGCTTTTTCCCCTTCTCTGCCACGCTTGGGCTCCTGGGTTGTTCAAGAGTCAGTGGAAGGTGACCAGGGCCTCCCAGATTCATGGCCAGGTACTATCTCAAAACCCAGGCAATGCTGGATTCAAAATTCGGCTTTATATAGATTCCCATAATATGAGGCACCTATTCATATACTGGCAGCCAGTTCTTCACATGTCTTATAAAAGACCATAAAAGCAGAATAGGCTCATGTAAGAGCTGACAAGCCGGTATCCCCCCCAGGAATAAGGTCTGCATCGAAACAGCCTGTCAATGAGTGTTTTGAACACTGCATTTGGTTTTGGGAAGCGGGGAAGAGGGGACAGAAGGTATCTCTCTTGCAACCTTTTAAGCTGTTACCTCCCACAACCCATGTGCATGGGAATGTTTGGAAGAGGAAACAGATTCAGCTGTAACATCCTGACTGGAAAACTTTCAGCTCCCATTTGCAGCTCCAAAATAGCCTGCTTAGGGAAGGCAGCAAGTATCTGCAGCCTGCAGTGCCACAGGAGGCTGGCCGGCCTTCAGCAGGGCCGCGCAGAGCGGAAAGGCCTGGATGCCGCGGCATCCTGCCCGCTGCACAGGGCAGCACAAACCCTCCCACGAGCAGCACCAGCGTCTCCAGCTTGCAGGGACCACACACCTCGCCCAGGAAGAAGACATGGAGGGTGTCCGTCCTGGAACACGATGCAAAACACCCGGAGTGCTCCACAACTCCACATTGTCTGGGGCTGCAGGAAGAGGGGCAGATCTCGGCAGCCTCAGTCGGCGCAGCAGAGTCAAACAAACCTCTTCCATAGATGGAAGACTTGAAGCACCATTTGTGCCAAGGCCCTTCCTGCCGGACAGACGCACGCTGGCCGGGCTGAAAAGCCCAGGTCTGCTCAGAGCCCACTGCAAACCCGTACAAGGAGAAACTCTCCTTCTGTTACAGGCAGATTCGGAAGCCCCCAAAACTATAGCTTTTGTCTAAACTTGAGACACAATAAATTAGAAGGGCAATAAAAAGAGAGGAGGGAAGAGAGCTTTTCCTGAGCATTGCTGTGTATCTCAAGGCTCCCAAATCCTAATGCTCTTAAATTTTCCTTTCCTTCTGTCCTAGACAACAACAACCAAAAAATCAGGCCCTTAATCCAATTTAATTTAGGGTAATTTTAGCACATTTATTTTCCCCTTCATCTTCATACAGTAGCCAGCACACAGCCTGAGCACACTTTTAGCATCGCCGTGATTTAAAACTGCAGTTATCACCTAGACCACCACGCACGAAGCAGCAGGACTGGCTCCAATACTCACCTGGATCTAGACGACAAGCACTCGGTGCCTCCTTCCAAAGCCAGGCCCTCTGAGAACAAAATCTGATGATACTACAGTCATCACTTCCCATGCACTAATCGCATCCTTCAGCTACTAAAATGCTTCTTGCATTTTAAGGAATCACTGGAGAAATAAAAATCCCAAACACACTTGTGTGTAAAATAAGAGCTATCGCTCAGAGTCAGAGCTTAAAACTACCTTCCAGGCAGCTCATGGCCTGGAAATAGGATTAGGCTGTTTCAGGAAATGAATCTCACGTTCTTCTCAAAAACACTTTGCTATTATATGGAAATAACCCCTTGCAACCTCTATATGAAGATATGCCAGCATCTAAGTCTTCACAGCAAGTGCCACGTTTTCCGCTTCTGCTTTCACCTGCCTGCAGAGAAGGTTCAACACACCACAAACCTCGTGCTGTTTCTCACAGGAAAACCCAGAGTTTGCAGTTCCAAAAATAAGACTCTGCTTTGCCAGATGAAGCCTAACCCAAGCAAAACCGGTAAAAAACGAAAGGTTAAAACACTTGCTATTTAGAGTATTACCCCGACACCCAATGGCTCCTGATCAGCACTGCAAACCCTGCT